CGAATCGTCAATAAATGAGTACAAAACAGCGTTTCCTAGCACATGTCGCTTACTGATTGTTTGGAATTATAAATATGAGCGTAGTTTATATCACATGCACTTTTTTGTTTGTTGTTTTTTTTAGTTTGTTACTCAGATGCTGGCAGTGCGCTGCACGAGACAAAAAAGTAATATGGCCAAAACAACCGCATAGCCGCTCTTTAGTGTAGATGCATGTTGATTTTATCAGACGATGCCGCGATTATAAATGAGAGTGACTCCTGGTTAACATGTATTAAAAGGGGTCGTGTTTAGTCACCATTTAGTGTGGTATTTTTTGACAATATTCACTCATCATGACAGTAAAATAGGGCATTCTAAGTCAATATACTGCAGTATTTCCTCTCTCAATCAGTAGAAAATATGGTTAACACCCGGTCATGCATGAAAAAAAAAATACCGTCATGTACCGTGAAACCGGTATAATTTTGAAAAATACCGTGATATAAATTTTTGGTCACACCACCCAGCACTAATATACACACACATTGAGCATATATGAATTTGATGTATTTCGTTTTCATTCCACTGTAAACTAAATAATCAATAAATAAAAATAATAATTAAATGCATTAATAAAATCACAAATAATTATTCCAAAATAATTATAAATAATTATAACAATATTAAAATAAAATTAAAAATGCATGTACTCTTCTAATCTTTCAAAAATTAGGCCAAGTAAACATTGCTTCAAGTTTTTCCAAGTTATGAATTCTTGACACTGCTTTAGAAAGACTTTGATTTTTATATCAGTTTAATTCATTAACAACTACTTGTTAACCTGAGAAGACAAAAGGGAAAGAAAACACATCAAAACTGGTACATTTATTAAAGAACACAAGCGCCCCCTTGAAGGAGTTCAGAAATGGTGGAGAGATTTTCCTCTCTGGTGGACAAGGGCCAGTCTCTCCACTCCGGCGTCACGGTCCATATGGTTGGCACTGGGCGCGTTGTTTCGGTGCCAAACCTTGTACTAAACTTTGTGCCAGGCCCCTGCAGACCTGGCACACAGGCCGGCACACATGCACACCAATCACACCCAGCGTCTTCAATTATCCCGAATCCTGCTTATTCACTAACAAATGAAAGAAGGATTTCATTCTGCCTTCGTTCAGGAACAGAGATGGCATTCGTACGTGTCTGGAATAAACACCATCCTGAGTCAAGTTACGCCCAACATCCGAACTCAACTTTAAGAAACTAAAGCCGTGAGAAGAAACTGTGCTGATTTGAAATGAGTTTTTATTGCTTATGTGATTGACACTTTATTTTCAATTTCAATTTGATCATAAATTTTAGTTTACTTAAAGGCAGGGTAGGTGATCTGGTATATGCTGGTTGAAAGTCTCTTCACATCCACTTAACAATCACAAAGTTAAGTGGTCTAAATGTACTTATGTCTGTGGAAGGCGTAGGACCTTAGTATGTATTTTCATACCTCTGTGCACCCTGTTCACGCAGACATGATACGCCTATTGCAGATCGAGCGAGAATGGAAGGCATTATTATTGTAATATTATGTGCTTTGTACTGTAATGTTTTCTCAGCGATGAATGAGACATGAGGTAATTTGACAGCATTGAAGCTGTCTCTCATCGCGTCGCTGCTTAGCCTCTGCTTATTTTCAAGGCTTTCAATGTACTCTCATTAAAAAAAAAAGAACTTTAATAAAGTTTCTTACTTCTAACAAATACGTTTTTGCTCAAAACTAACCAAAATTAAAAATAAATTGTTTATAATTTTCACACAGGAGAGACTTAGTGTTGTTTAAAAACAAAGGGAAATATATATCGTTATCGGTATCAGCTATTGGCCAAAATTATTTGAAAATATCGGCATATCGGATATCGGCAAAAATCTAATATCGTGCATCCCTACTTTTAAAGACCTTTTTCAGATCTACAGAAACCTTTTTTTTTGGGGATCTTCTAAGTAGGGCTGGGCGATTTTGCAAAAAATTTAAATCTCGATTTGTCCAGTATGTTTGACCGATTCTCGATTTTTTACGATTTTTAACTTGTCAACTTGAAAATGTAACTACAACATGATTCAAGTTACTTTTTCTTTATTAACCCTCTAGTTAAAGAAAATTCTATTTCAAGTGCAGCACACATGAAGTTGTCAACATGATGTAAATGTTAAACAAATCACTTGTTAAATATCTATGCAAAAAACTCAACCCTCTACATTGCGAGTAAATCACTCGCATATGCGACTAAATCTTCTCTCTGGCGACTAAATGATGTCTAATATTAGCCAATTGCTAATAAATTCTCAGATTTTACTCGCCAGTGTGTGAGTTGGAGGCTACGTATAAATTTAGCTCAGATATATTTTCACTCACAGAACACTCTCTGACTGCGCGCATCAGAGTTTCACTCTCTGCTAAGCGATCTGTGCTGTTTTTCAGTTCATCTGAATGGATGTGCACATTTCACGGACGAGAATCCATAAAGCACATTATTAGACTGTTTTCCAAGGCCTCATGATATATTAAACCCGCACTGATCTATGATAGAGATTATATTATATTATTTTATAATTATACATAGATCAGTGGTTCTATTACATTATAATACAGTATTTTAATATATTTTTTTCAATAAAACCAGTGTCATTCTTACACTATAATACTGAACTTTGATTTCAGTGATTTGGACTATGAGATGGACACTTGCTTCTTGCACTCTATGTTGCACTTTACTTTTGCTTTAAAAAAAGGATTTCATTGAAATTTGGATTTCATTTGGAGTTTCACTACTGAAGTCCTCTGTACATTTTTTTCATCATGCTGGAGATGTCTGTTTAAATCTGTTGTTTACACATTTCTAAGAGTACTTTTAATACTTAAAATTTTTAATATTAATAACTTTTAATAATAAAATTTTAATACTTGATTCTAGTGGACTCTAAACATTGCATTTATTTAATGGGAAAACCCAACTGTTGGGGTAATTGAAACGTTTTTATGGTACACTACAGAATGGCAAAGTTGCAAGTTTAATAAAATGTTCTTTAAAATTCACAAAAATTAATTAATTATCATATTTTCTTATTAGTAGACCAGAACACGTGGACATGTTGTCATTCTTACACTATACTGAACTTTGATTTCAGTGATTTGGACTATGAGATGGACACTTGCTTCTTGCACTCTCTGTTGCACTTTACCTTTGCTTTAAAAAAGGATTTCATAGAAATTTGGATTTCATTTGGAGTTTCACTACTGAAGTCCTCTGTACATTTTTTTCATCATGCTGGAGATGTCTGTTTAAATCTGTTGTTTACACATTTCTAAGAGTACTTTTAATACTTAACATTTTTAATAATAATAACTTTTAATAATAAAATTTTAATACTTGATTCTAGTGGACTCTAAACATTGCATTTATTTAATGTGAAAACCCAACTGGTAGGGTTAATTGAAACATATATATTTTTTTTTTCCCTTTGTAGATGCACTCACAGCTGTAATGAACAGAAGCCCAGAACATGTGGATATATTGACATTAAGAACATACTGACTTTCTCAGACTTTTGTAATTATTTTCTTTTTATTTCATTTTTATTAGGTTTGTTTACATTTTTACTCTTTAATGCATATTAAAGTTCATAAGCGCTGCAGCGCTGCTTTGTTAACAGCGGAAACCAAGGAAACGCTTTAAGCGCCACCTGCTGGCAGAGTAAATCTGCGTCTCATTCAGCTCGTCTGCCGTTTCTGTTTCATGCAGATATTTTTTTATGCATAATTTTGCAGCATCTTTGTTTGGATCATGATTAAAATGCAGTGGTTGCCTCTAATTTTAAATCGAAAGAGCACAGACAAAGCCTTAGTTTGTTTATATGAAGAGATTTATTTTATTTGTTTTACTTATTTATTTGATTTGGGGATTGTTTTAAAATTTCAACAAAAAAAATTTTAGTTTTATTATTTACAT